GAGCGCCGGCCCCGGGCGCGCGGCGCTGTGCGGGGGAGGGCCAGCCCTGGGCATGCAGCTATGGGGGGGGCGCCCCCGGGGCGCAAGTGTCCCCGCCCCCTGGCGCCCGACAACCTCGAAAGGTTGGGGACCACTGATGTAGCCTATGAGTTTTCTCGGCAAAAAAATACACTAATGAGGGACTCATTTGCATGAGTCGCAATCTCATTTGTATATTTTCTGCTGATCCGTTTTTGCGCTGGAGTTTTGATGCAAAAACAAGCAGTGTAGACGTTTTCAGCAAACAGTAGATGGGGGTCCAATTCTCCTGCATAATTTTTGCAAGGGGATGACCTTAGGGCTTCATCACATACCCTTCCATGTAATGTTTGCAGTATTGCTGTAGACATTCCTGTATAGTAATAGTAAAATACTGTATTGGACAAACTAGATCCAGACTTCTAGGTAAGTAAAATGCCTCACAGGACTAGTGCTAGTGAACAATATCCCATGCTATGAGTGGGGTGAACCTTGTGGAACAGAAACACACATCTCCAAGAGGTTCTAGGCACAGGCTGTAAGTAAATTCCAGAGGAGTCGTAACAGAACACCTCACTTAGAAACATCTTGGTACCAACAGACCTCCCCTCCCCCAAGAACATACATATCGACCCAGGTTCAGGACTGGGTCTAAACTGACAGCATGATAGATAGTGATCCAACCCCATGTACATGGTGGATCTAGGTTTATCATCATTGACAGAGCAGAAGACCTGTCAAGGAACTCATTGGGACGATCCTGTCTGACTGACGACACTTGTCATCTGAATTTTTGTAGAATCTCAGAATCATAGAAACTAGAACTGGAAGGAACCTCGAGAGGTCATCAAGTGAAGCCTCTGCCCTAACGGCAAAACCAAGTATCATCTAGATTATCTCTGATAGATGTCTATCCAACCTGCTCTTAAATATCTCCAGTGTTGGAGATTTCACAAACTCCCTAGGCAATTTATTCCAGTGTTTAACCACCCTGATATTTAGGAAGTATTGCCTAAGGTCCAACCTAAACCTCCCTTGATGCAGTTTAAGCCCATTGCTTCTTGTCCTATCATCAGAGGCCAAGAACAACAATTTTTCTCCCTTACCCCTGTAACACCCCTTTAGATACTTGAAAACCGCTATCATATCCCCTATCAGTCTTCTTTTTTCTAAGCTAAACAAGCCCAATTCTTTCAGTTTTCCCTCATAGCTCAGGTTTGCTTGTCCTTTAATCATTTTTGGTGCTCTTCTCTGGATCCTCTCCAATTTCTCCACACATCTTTCTTCATGTGGTGCCCAGAACTGGACACAGTACTCTAATTGAGGCCTACCAGGGCAGAGAAGAGTGGAAGAATGGCTTCTCGTTAGAGCTGTCAATTAACACGTGTTAACGCCTGCGATTAACACAGGGCAGAATTGACGCATTAATTTGCTGAGGGCAGGAAACCAGCATGAGCTGCTCCAGAGACCGTCTCTGGTAAGGTTCAGTAATGCAAAACGCCACCAGAGGCACATGGAAAAACGAAGCAGCAAGAAAGAAAAAAACCCAGAAGACATGGTCCCAGCTCCGCGGAGAAGTAGACAAGAAGTAAAGACCCGGACACCCGTCCCTCTTCCCTCCCAGGTGACCATATTTTTTAAAATAAAAAAGCCTGGGTGGGGGGGGGGGCTTGCCCAAGCTGCCCCCCCCCCCCCCCCCCACACACACACACACAGGGCAGGGCTCACTCAATCTACCCTCTCTTTGCCTCTTGGGGCTGGGTCCGACCCTTCCCTCACATCTCAATCTGGGGCTGAGTCCACTCCTGAACGTTCCCGAACCCAGTCCAGGGGCTGACCCCTCCCCAGAGCTTGGGGATTGACTCCCATCCTTGAGCTCTGTGCCAAGCCCCCCTGAACTCTGCACTGTCCACGGCAGAGTCTACCCCCCTTCGGCCCTGTGCTACCCGCAGCTGGGGCTGAGATTAAAAAAGAACTCTCTTGAATAGGATACAAATATATTGATTATATAGAAGAATTTATTGAATTATTCCAGACATTGACACAGTTCTGCTGTGTTTTCATGAAATACAGTGATAAAATACCAGACAAAGTTAATGGAGCAAAGCAGCAACAGTTCAGTTCTTTTGAATGGGAAGTTTATATTTAAAATACTTCCAGATGGTTCTCTGTCTAGAAGGACTGTTCTCTGTAGCTACTGCAAGGCTGAGTTCCAATACCATAGCAGCACTTCAAGTCTGCAGTACCACCTACATGCTAAGCATGTTTTTGCCTGCAGATCTTGTGCTCCAGATAACCCACCACCACCAAACAAGTCCAGCCAGCTACGACAGAGAACAATTACAGTGTTTCAGGATCACTACAAGCCCATGGATCAAACAAAATACAACCCCTTAATCAATATTATTGCAAAGTGGATAGCTATGGACTGCAGGCCTCTCAACATTGTAAATGACAGAGGGCTAAGAGATACTATTCAAATAGCTTCTTTCAATCAGTCCTACACCTTGCCCTCCCGAGGAATCATTGAATCACGAATAAACGACCTATATAACAAGAGAGCACTACGAAGTTGGAGCTTCTGAGAAATGCACTGGCTGTTGCTTTGACTGGTGATCACTAGTTATCCTTGAGCAATCCTAGCAATCTTGGTGTCACGGCACACCTGACTGATGTTGTGCGGACACGACAGTCATT